ATTAAATTAACAATGTTATATTTTGATAAACTATGTGAAAAAATGTATGTTATTTATCATAACGAAAACACTTATTGATGTTCTGTAAATCTGAACACTTACATTAAACATTTGAATGGAAATATCAGAAATATCTATATTTTTTATTAAAAATATTTTATCCAAATAACTTATTTACAATACTTAATRTCTCTAGTATAYTTTTTAATTAATTTTTAAAAATACCTTATAATTAAATCAAACACATTTTGTACAWCGTTAGCGAACTTAACATTTAAAAATATGTTGAATCATGTGAGACAAATAATCATCAAGCCATAATTTATTTTTATTCGACAATATAACTTCAGCCATAGTTGGTTTCAATATTTAAAATACTACTTGAAAATACGACAGTGTACTTAATCTAACTTTATGGAGTAATAAGACACAACGTTTTGCGTTTCCCAACTCCCAAGTGCTGGTTTTCCAGATCGTATTTCTTTCTATCTAAACTATTATCTTAGATAYTTGATCTACTCGTAAGTGTCTTATAAGTTATAAACAATGTGATAATATCATCTGAATTATATTAACGAAAATATTGCACTTATAATTGTATTTATATAAATGTATTTTGATGAAACAAAATCACGAAATTCGTATAATGTACCTTCTATGCATGAATATGAATTTCYATCTAACGTATAAATTAATAAATTACTACATTTTCAAAATTACARATGATTTTTATTCATTTTAATGAATACTAGTAGTTATTCAAAAAGTAGGTAGATAACCTAAATCGTCATTCAATCATTTTTTTCATTTTGTGTCAGAATATTTTTGCACATTGAAATTTATTTCTGGAAACTTGCACCGTAGCCATTCTTAATGTGGACATACTTGCTAGCTACAGTTTATGTATTTAAAGGCTAATATAATTRATACAATATTACCGTGTTAGTGCATTAAACTGTCCTTGATGGCACATATTTATAATTGAACCACTTTCGTTAGAACAAATTATAATGTATCAAATGTATCAATATTATTTTTATATAACTAGACATAAAAATAGTCCATTCTCATACTATAATTATATCTATTATTATTATTTTTTATTAATATAATCAAAATTAATATTCATGACCTTGGAACCTTTTATAGTTTATACTTTCTTCGGCTTAAATTGATAATAATGTAAAATTTAAAATATATGTAAAATATACTATACAATAGTTAGTTTTAATATTTGGCTTAAAAATATTTGAATAATTAAAATAAATAAATTATTAAATAAACAATATATTATTATGATTTTGACTTGAGCAGAAAATTTAGTTTTTATAGGTACCTACTATAAAAAATATTATGGATAAAACTATATTCTATAGCTTTATACTTACAAAAATATAAGTTTCTGATATTAAAAATTTATAAATGGCTAAATTTCAAAATAATAACAATAATGTAGGTATATAGGTAATAGTATAACCATTCTTATTTCTGAAAATATTTCTTTATTATATATTTAGTATATTAGTAAATAATATGGCTTTGTGTAATGAAATATACGTATACCATATACTTTATTTAATTTATTGTATAAAAAAGACTTTTTATAATAATATGTTCATTAAATAGAATTTAAAATTCATAATTCACACGAAATATTTTAATGAGTTAGTATAAATGTCAAGGTTATAAATTAAAATAAAGATAGTTGATGATTTATTCGTTTGTAAATCTAACTATATTAAATAATATTATTATCCAGTTAAAATTTTAATCTAAAACATTTATTTTAAAATKATATTAATTACAATATGTTACAAATTAGAAATTATTAAAATGTTTGTTATGAACAATGACTATAGTTTTTGCAGATATATATAAAATATGATATAGTATGTTATGGTAATATAGTATTGACTATTGACTATATCATATCATAATAATAATATAAAGGACACATTTTATGTTTATTAATTATTACTTCTATAAAATAAATTATAATATAAAAATATTATATATAGTATATTTTATAATCTGTTTAACTATATTATACAAAAAATGTATTAAATGCTTGTAGTCAGGTAGATACTTTAAAAGTTTAAAATATTCTACCAGTATTTAAATTAAAAATTACCAATAATAATATAATTGTTGACACATTCAATTTTATATTTATTTTTATTCTTTATAATGTTTTATATTGATGTGGTAGATACCAGATATTGGCTTTTATTATGTACTTACTTACACTGATATCATTTACATATCTATCAGGAATATAAAATAATGTTGTGTGTAAACTACACATTTTAGTAGGATATGAATTCTTATGGTCTTGAACAATATATATATTTATTTTCTTCGCTATAGATAAATAAATGGCTCATCATATATGTTGGTAAGTTATCTGGTATAGGACTACCTATTAGGAATTATTTAAAATTAGTGAGTATAATATAAAAAAAATATGAGGCTATATTCAATATATATTGAAATATATTTTTTTTGAAAGTCTATAAATGAATAATCATATTTTTTAAATGTATTTTAAATGTAATACATGCTTGATTATTGATTAATATCGATCAGCTTAGAACTAAATATTATTGTTAAAAATAATAATTATAGTAATTTAGTAATTATTGTTATTATTATATTATAATTCAATAATAATAAAAAAAAAAACAACAATATTATTAAATTATAATATGTTTCTCTATAGTTTACCAATAGGAGATTATTTTATTAACAATCTTATTATAATTTCATATTCATTATCGCATTTATATCTCACTTACATCATAAATTAACAGCGTGTTTTTTTTTTTAATTTTAGCGAACGACTTGGCGGTGTCAAGCCTCCAGTACTTCGGTCCGAAACAGATTTCGATCCAGGTTCAAAATATCACGTGCCCGCCAACATTCCCTATATTGGGTAAGTACCCATGTGTATAATAATTTCAAATGGTATAGTTACACTTACATGACTAGGGATCTGCATTTTATTATAACTTGGTTACGGTATTTCGTGTTTTCGCGGAGTAGTTTCACTAACGTCAACAATACGTGTCGCACAATACAATAATTTTGTAATAATAATGAATATAATATAATAATATTATTATAAATATTGTGTGTTTGCGAATATCAAATACCCATTAAATAGAACTGTACTGTATAGTTTTGTCAACAGGCGTCTAATACGATTTTGTCCGTATATACTATATATATATATATATATGCACAGGTGGTCGTTATATTATATTTGATATATTCTGGCGATCGGAGGGGGGGGGGGAAACCGCATACGGACAAGGAACGGTTTCGGTTTCTTCTTCTATAATTCGGTATGTCGTCGCCTTCGTTATCGTTGTCGTTGTATTGTTAAAATCGTGTACGCGCGACACCGGACGGGAAACGAAAGCGGAATTCATTTTAGTTTTCAAAAATGTTATAACAACCGAAATAATCAGTAATTGGTCTTGCATTTTTCGCGATAAACTATTACACTAGGTTGGTACTGTAAATAAGAAAACACGGATACGCGGGATTGCGTGTGCGGATTGCTAAATAAATAATTGAGCTCATTTCACACGCCAGAACAGACCGACTGACATCCACATATTTGTCGCGTTGCGCCTATCTATACCGACTTTTGAATTTAAGTTTTTTTTCTCCATATTTGTATCCATACGGTACGGAATTGAAAACGCCTGCACCGAGTCGTTCCACACGCCGAATAAAATATATTTCTAGATCTAACCTTTAGGAAATTCAAGGTTGAGGTGATTTTATGAACCATTAAACGCATCGATATTATAATATAAATATTAAAATGGGCTTACGTATAGGTGTTRCGACAATAATTACAAACACGAATAAAATATTATTATTATTCAATTATTATTACGCTAAAGACTATTATTATAGTAAAATGTATAACAAATATGACAATAATGTGTACAAATATAATTTTTATTGGTATGCATGGTATAGGTACTTACTATTATTATTACAGTGTTATAATACAAGTCTAAAATATGCTTGATTGCGTTAAGCGCAATGAGCTCGAAAAAATGGCAGCAAATGTCACTTACTATGGTATATAAATTGGTAAATTGCGCACTAATTATCCGTGTGAAGATCCATAGTCTTCATTACCACCGTAGGCGTCTGGCGTCCCTTGGTCTTGGCCATTGCCAAACGAAGTAAAACCGTTATCATAATTGTTTACGGATGCAGTACCATATCCTGTAGTATCCGACGAGCTCTCTTGATGTAACAGCCCACCTTGCCTAAATGAGTCGTGGTGTGATTGTTGTTGTTGTTGTTGTTGTTGTTGATGGTGGTTGTACTTTGTCTGCTCGTTGCCGTAACCATGCTGCGATTGCGTGTGCACCGGTATGTGAACGGGTACTTTGACTTCCACTGGGTATGGAACGGGMACTTTGACGGGCACTTTAACAGGAACTTTGACCGGATACGGTACTGGCCTGTCAACGTGCACGGGATATGGTTTGGGTACATGCACCGGATACGGCCTGTCTACCGGTATTTTTACTGGATACGGTATTTTCTTTTCCACTGGATATGGTATCGGTTTATCTACTGGTATGTGTATGGGYACTGGACGGTCTATAGGTATTTTAACGGGATACGGAACTGGGTGGTCTACAGCTATTGGTACTTTTTTCTCGATGTATACCGGATAAGGTTTCGGKATGTGCACCGCCACAGGCTTCTCCACGTGTACTTTTACTGGAAACGGTACGTGTTTCTCCACCGTTACAGGGTATGGTTGCGGTACGTGCACTCTGACCGGGTAGGGCACTTGTTTTTCAATGTGTACAGGATATGGTCTGTGGACCKGATACGGAACTGGTTTTTCGTACGGTATACGGACGGGGTAGAGAACTTTTTTCTCCACGTGAACTGGGTACGGAACTGGTACCTCTTTTGTCACATACACTGTCCTGACATGTCCTCCATGTCCATAGCCATGACCGCCTCCTCCAAATCCACCAAATCCATGTCCACCTCCTCCTCCACCATGACCGCCTCCACCTCCGTATCCACCGCCACCAAAACCACCTCCACTGAAACCACCGATGTGGCTCCTATAGTCATCGTTGTTGGTTGATTCGTGTGCATCGATATTTTCTCCACCACTTGCGTACCCTTGAAATGCTTGATGTGAACCACCAAAGCCAGGATGTTCACCACCGCCGCCATTACCTGGAGTGAAAAAATGCCCTCTACCGGAAATGTCAGGTTTCCCTTCGTTRTTAAAGAAACTGGCCATCCAACCATGGTTGTTGGAATTTCTTCCTCCTACTGAACTATGATGATCATTTGATCCTGTATTGGACCCCTGCTCATTTCTTCCATTATCTGGGACACCCCTTTCAAAATAGAAGTGACTAAAACCGTTATCACCACTATTATGGTTTTCATTGTTAACCGATAGCTGCTCATTATCTCCTCCGTTTCCATCTCGACCATTATTATTACCAAATGGATGCCCCGAATAGTCAGAACTTTCCGGCGAGGAATGTGAATTAGTTYCTCGGCCATACCCAAGAACATTATTTAAACCACGTTTTTCTGGTGGTTTTGATTCTGTAGACTCTTCTGCATTATCGATCTGTTTACTATTAGATGACTTTTTTCCATGCTCGGCTAACGCATATGTTAATAGTAACGTTAGGAATAACCATTTTTGTTTCTGTAAATGACATTTGTTTTGATTATTTTTATACTTATTAGCATAATATTATTATTTTTAAATATTAATTATGTATAAACTATAAAGTATAAAACGGATCATAATCATTATTAATAAATAATATACATAATAATTCTATGAAACTTCAGTAAGAATGTAATTTCAAATTAAAAGTATCGGTTAAGTACGATTTGACAATCACTTTTTTTTTTTTTTATTAAGAACTTTCAGTATAACTATTATAGTTCAACAATTACAATATTGATAGATACAGTGATACAATAAGTAATAATTGGTAATTAATAATAATGAGCATATAATAAATGATAAATAAGATAATGATGTCAGATAAGAGTAAACAAAACGGAATATTAGTGTATATACCTAGTAACAGAAATAATATTAAATGTAAATATCATAATCATAATTAATTGGCTGTTATTATAGCGGAAAGAAAAGAATTAATTATGGAGGTTAAATCGGATAGAAAATCACTTGGTTAATWAAATTCTTCGATTTGTGAAAATTTTCGTGAATATAATTATAAATACTATACAGAGCTTCAATTTTATTTCATATTTTATGTAAGCCAATTATCCTTCTTGAATTAAGATTAACAATTCAGAAATATATCAATTAGATTTCGATTTACCTATATGTTCATAATTATTTCAATAAAAATATTCTGTTTTAAAAGAAAAAAAGGTGAAATTAATTTGGAAAAATAGTGAACTGCTGCAGGGGGCAGAGAAACATAAAAAAATTGTGAAAATATAATTATTTGAAAAATATCCATAAATTATAATTTCTAAAGGGTGTATTAAAATGTGAATGGTGTTTTATTCTTTAACAATGCTTATTTAATTATTTTTTTTAGAATTTGTGATTTTACTAAAATACTATAATTTTAAAAACTTATATATACAGCTATATACCTAACTAATATATGTTTCGTGTACTATAGTAATTTTTAAAATACCTTCTCAATTTTTTTTACAATTTTAAAACTATCCTACAGCAATAGGTACTGTCTTCTTTCAAACTTTTAATGGTATAGATACTGCTTGATACTCGTAGATTATTAAATAGATGATTTTTTTAAAACCTGTTTGCAGATAAATCAAATTTAATCGATTAATTTTTGAGTTATTAAATTTAATCTTACGCTTTGAGTATAGTTTATGGTATCAAATTAGACCTAAGTAATAGTTATAGAGCGTTCAAAAAAAAAAAAAAATGTTTATGTATGTTCTTAAAGAAAAAACTTCAAAAGGAAATGTTTATAAGTTTTAAATATCATGGATATATATATATAAAAAAACTCAAACACCTAAATGGATGATTTTTTATTAACACTGATGTGAAGTTTACTAAAACTTTGATGTTTTTAATTTGACAAATTTTAACAAAACCACGGGCATTTACACATTATTTTGTTGGAAAAATGTATGTAGTYGATTCTAAATTTTAATATTTAAGATTTGAAAATATATTAAAAAGTAGTAAATAAGGATTTCTTACGGTAATCTTAAATTCTAAAAACTACAATTGGACAACTTTGTTTTATAGATATTTCATATTAAAATGTTGATAAAATTGTAAATTAAAAGTTATTTAGTTGTAATAATTTAATAAATATTATTCGTAGGTACATAAATCATTTTACCTMTATACGTTTGTTATCATTAAATATTTCAAATGAAATCAAATATATATATAGATATATTCTAATATTTTTAGTGTATTCACACCGTTCTACGTTACATTTGTATAAATCAATAACATGTAATACAATATTATTAATTCATATTGGTATGTATACCTAACCTTACCWAGGTAAATAACTATTTAAAATTTTAAAATTTTAAAGTAGTGAAACATAAATATTAATAAAGGATCCCTTATAAATTTTAATTTATTAATTATAATAATAATGTTTAATATTAAAGTGTTATAAATTTTCTAAGTTTTTAYATTTTTTTTTCAAAGTTTGGTAAACTCGTCTATTCGACATTTTTTATTTTATATTGTTTACCAATTGTTTTTAATCATATATTCTATTTATCTTAAAAGTCATTAATTTTGATATTTTACATATGTAATAATGTTCATAAAAACACATTTAATATTTTATTGAACTAATTGAAATATGCTAAAATTGGTGTAATACATTTTACACTTCTATGTCAGTTATTAATTTTAATTCTAGAATCTAGTCAAAATTATTTTTAAAATTACATGTAGGTATATATACATTTCATTAACTTTATTTTCCATTTATAAATCATAATAAAATCTAATGCCCTATGTTGCCGAGGGTATATTTCGTTTAATAAAAAAAAAATCATAATAAACCAGTATTAGTTGTATCAAGTTATGGTGTTTGTATTTTTTAAAACATATAAGTACATTTTTTGTGGTTGTATTATATTTTTTAAAGAAACAACTTAACTAATTAAAAACTTTGAAACTTTAAAAATTTCTAATTAATATATGAATGTTGATTTATATAAATATTTGAAGTAGGATTAAAAATAATTTGTAAATTAATTAATGAATATAATTTATTGAGTATTAATTCAAATAGTCCCATTAATTTCAGTKCAGTTTTTATTTTTAAAATAATATATGATAGTTTGACACTAATGTTTCTTCGTGAAATTATTTGTAATTTATAAATAAATATAAGTATTTTCCTTGTTTAATAATTTTTATCAAACAGAATATAGTATGTACTCGTACTTACTTCCATTGAGTGATAAAATATTCCCGTTGTTGTATAATAAATAATAGAGTAACTGATAAAATATTTTATCACAGTGTTTTTTTTTTCAAGTTGGATTGTAAAAAAACATTATAATGAAAACATGTACAGTTACCGCGAACTGAAACTGTCTCAAAGAGATCGACTTTTCACGAACGTCTAATTATGTTTAATGCACATTCAGACTATGTTATATTTCATACTGTTTTTCTTAATATATCAAAAAATATTGTTTACAATTTCCCCTCCATATTATGGTAGTAAATATCTAGTCTATACATTTATATGATATAGTTTTTTGGTGGTATTGGTTAGTATTCGGTAGTCTATTTCCTCTCTCTATGTACCATTTCTTTATTACGCACTCTATCCGTTTTCTATTTCACGTAGTTATCGTTAATAATGACGTCAGTGAAATACGACATAAAAACAGTATATTTAATGCTCATCATTTTATTTATTTATAATATTACAAATGAATGTATTCTTAACTTATAAAACGTGTGGTAAAATTATTCATAATTATAGAAAGTATTTAAAAAATATATTTTATAAATATATTTTAAAATATTTCTATCAATCAGTAGCTTTATAAAAATGTGAAAGTGCACATTTCAGTTATAATTGAAACATTGAAAATCTATTTCTTTACAACATTGGAGTCTTCAGTTTTTGACTCAACTTTTTCTTGAGCCTTGTTGGATGCAGCTCCAATGGCAACTGTTTCTTGTCCGACTGATCCAAAGTTGGTTGACTTGAACAGAGATGAAGCATCAGATGAACCAGCGGAGAAAGAGTTGAATGGAGCTGGTGTAGATGAACCGAAGAAAGATTGTTCACCGAAGCTGAATGGAGCTGATGTGCTACTGAAACCGTCTTGGGCAAAGTTTGAGCCGAAGAGTCCAGCTGAGCTGGCAGTTGAGCTGTATGAGCTAATCGGGCTAGCTGTAGAGCTGTAGAACGCACTTCCGGTGGCTGGAGTAGAGCTGTAGAACGCACTTCCGGTGGCTGGAGTAGAGCTGTAGAATGCACTGTTAAAAGCTGGAGCTAAACCAGATGAACCGTATGATAATTTGGTTCCGGTCAGAGCCAATTGTTCGGATGTTTTCAAATTTTGGTTGTTAAGGATAACGGCGTTTGCGGGTGTGTTGTAGTAGAAGTTTGGTACACCGTCATTGGATTGTGCAGCAAAAGCTTTGTAACCAGATTGGCCAGCAAAAGCTTGACTGGATTCGTATCCCAAACCAACAGGAGATTGTTGGTAGTAGTGTACTGTAGCGAAACGTTGAGCTGGGGCTGCAACTGGGACTGGGACCTTAACTTCAACTGGGACTTGGACTGGGTATGGAACCTTCTTTTCTACTGGGTATGGAACTGGTCTGTCCACAGACACTGGAACTCTGACCTCCACTGGAACTGGTACTTTGACTGGGACATCGTACCTGACTGGGTATGGAACCTTCTTTTCAACTGCGTATGGTACCAATTTTTCTACTGGGTATGGCACAGCCTTTTCTACTGGGTATGGCACTGGCTTATCGACGGGGACTGGGTATGGTACTGGCTTTTCGACGGGGTATGGTCTGTCAACATTTACTCGCACTGGGTATGGCACGGGCTTCTCAACTGCGTATGGCACGGGTTTTTCGAACGGAACATGGACYGGGTATGGCCTGTCGACTGGTACTTTCACTTCATAAGGTACTGGCTTTTCAACTGGGTAAGGTACTCTCTTTTCGATTTCTACTGGGTACGGTTGAGGAACATGGACTGGACGGTCTACGTTGACTTTAACGGCGTATGGCACATGTTTTTCTACTGTAACGGGGTATGGGTGTGGCACACGGACCAACACGGGGTATGGCACTCTCTTTTCAACTTGCACGTAGTATGGAACTGGAACTTCTTTAGTGATGGTAACTTCGTGATGAGGTGCAGGAGCGTTAGCTACAGCTGGAATTTCAACCGAATCGTGGCTAACTGCGTCAGACTTGATGATAGCGCCTTGAGAGTACGACGGGGCGTAGGCACCAGAGTAGTAAGAGCCATATGAAGTAGAGAAAGCTGGTGATCTGTTCAAAACRACAGGTTCTGGGGTGGATGACACAACTGGTGAAGATCCGCCCAATAAAACTGAGGGGGTGGAAGAATACGCAAAGCTCGAGTCAGATAGTGCGGCACCAGAGACAGCTGCGCCAGACAAGGAAGGTGCTGGAGTAGATGATCCAATTAGTTGAAAAAAAGATGCCTGGGTAGATGAACCGAATGAGCCATCGTAGAATGGAGCAGGTGTGGACGATCCAATGAACGATGCAGAATCAAAGGCTTGAGCTGCGGCGGCGTTGGAGTAGGCATTCGACGCAAAAGAGTTTCCGAATGCGAACGGAGCTGGTGTAGAGCTGTATGAAACGGACTTGAATGGTGCAGCAGTTGTTGAGAACGAGCTGTCGAATGCGAACGGAGCTGGTGTAGAGCTGTATGAAACGGACTTGAATGGTGCAGCGGTTGTTGAGAACGAGCTGTCGAATGCGAACGGAGCTGGGGTTGATGGGCCAAAGCTCTTGGCTCCGAATGAGAAAATAGATGGGTTAGAGAAAGGGAAATTGGCCTGCTCGGAAGCAGATGCGCTTTTCACGGTAACGGAGTCTGTTTTCTCATTGCTAGTGAGTTTGTCAAGTTTGTCAGCAAATGCTGTGGACACGACTAGGAGTCCTAGGAAAGCTGCTTGAATCTAGAAAAAAAAWTTTTTTTATAATTTAAATCAAAATATGATTGATTTCTATAATCGAATATATTAATGGACAATTGATTACGGTTTAGACTGTTCCACGCATTCGATTTAAATATAAATCTTATCTGTTTATTTTCACAATAGTTGGTTTATAATATTAGTGTATTTTATACTGAATTAGTGTTACGATAGTTGCTTAAAGTATTTATTTTTATCCCTAATAGTTTATGATATATTTGTTTGCCATTTTTTAATTAATTAAAGTTGTTTTTTATTTTGCTTCTTCCTTTATGATTTCATAGTAATTTGATACATTAAATAATTGTTTGATATTAAATTAACAAATTATAACTGTATGAAATATGAGAAAAGTTTTATATCATATAAAGTAAATTTTTCGTAAGGAGTTTTTAGCTCTAGTTAATTGAAAAACTTTCATAAAAAATTGTAATTTATGATGAAAATCAAAACGAAATTATTGCAATATTTTAAGGAAATATTTTGATAATTTTCTTCAGTTTTTAAATTTTTACCATATTATAATACCTTATTATTGTTAAGTATGAAATAATAATATTAAGACTGAATGATAAGAKATATTGTATTAAATTAATCAATAAGTATAATAGGTAGGATAAAAATCAAAATGTTGAAGAATAAATTAATAATAACTCAATAAACTCATTATATTAACTGCTGTAGGTTTCGTGCCATTTTAGTATTATTTTTATAAATAACTAGTTTCTTTTTATTAGGTAACTTAATATAAATTCATTGAGTTTTAGGGTCACTGTATGGATAATTTAACTTAAGTCTAATAATTAAAATGCAGAACATTTTAATATGATTGACAATTTTACTAAGTATTTATAATTTAAATAAATTTTTAAGTTGGTGCCTAAATTTAATATATTTTATAACAAAAGCAATCACAATTAAATAAACRGCTTAATTAAAATAAAAATGGAATTAGCAAACGTATTTTATAAAATTAATAAATCAATAATATTTACAAATAAGAACATATTTTTTTTCAAATAAATGTTCAATATTACCTAATATTGTATATTTTTTGATGCATACATACATTTTTATTTAATAAAATAAGAACAAAAGTATTTGCCATATTAGTTTTTTCGAATAACAACACATCAATATAAATAATTTAGATTATATAATATTGATGAAACAMAATCCATTTCTTTTCATAATCAAAAAACGTGTGTATTTACTATTTTATATCACTGTTTAGATCTAATAATGTTAAAGTCCTATAGAATTTTAAAAATGATTTATAGAATTCGGATTCACATCTGAAATATCTTAAGACGCATCTTTCTGCGAATGAATGTAACTATTTATTAAATCAATATCTAAATCATGCTAATAAGCTCCTATCATAAACAATTATTAACGATWGCGTGCATACAAATAATAAATATATATTTTTATTTTTAAATAAATATCYAAGCAATTAAACCTATTTCTTATAAATGTAATATAATTTAAATTTAAAATTAGACTTTTGGATGATGTCGAWGTTTAGAATTAAAAATATATTTTGTTAATTTTTTTTTCAATCACTAAAAATAATTTAGTTAAAAATAATATGAAAATGGATAGTCAAATTTTATGTTTTAAAAAAAAATATATATGTATATATAAAWACGTATGTAAGTACTTAGAATTATAGAAATAATAGTATGTTCAATCTCACCAAAGCACTTGGAGCCATGATTGTTGTTGGTTCTCTTCAATCCAGCGACTGATTGACTGGATACATTGTTGAACACCAGCCTTTACTATATATATCTGTGCTTCTTCTTGGACTGTATCCAGCAAAATTATTATCGAAAACCAGTAATCCGGGATGGGAGAATTTTTTTCGAACTCTAATGCAGTTAGCTCCTCCCACTGATAAATTGTTGATCTTCGTTCAACTGCTATTTTATCAGTGTTTTTTTATTATGATTTTTTTTTTATATATTATATAAATCTATTTTTTTCGCGTTTTTGCACTCTTCTCGTACAGTAAACCGGTTGTATATGCTAAGTCAAGGGTGCACGGCTCATATGGACTCTGAAGGATCGGTGGCCTCGTCGACCTTCGAACATTACAACAATATCCCCTTTCACACACCGGGTACCTTGCAGCGTATTCTCATCTAATCCACACTTTTAATCTTTTTGCATTTTGTCCCTCGTTGTTAAAACAGTATTATAGAACACTACGTACTTTCGTACTAAAGGAAAATTACATATTAATATAGAATAATTGACAATATGTCACCTGTTATACATTTCTTGTGCGTTCAATTATCACACTTGTTCGATTGACATTTTTCAAAATAAAGTGTTTACGTATAATCTATGAGTGTTATCATTTTCGGTCTAAAATATATAATGCTACGATTCTCAATTATTTAAAAAAAGTATTATTTTTGGTATAATAATATTCCGTAATTACTTAGTTTTCATATTGTTTTAGTATGTAAATAACATATTTTTTTAGTTATTCAAACATAATATATCAGTGATAATTAGCACTAAAATATTTCAGTAGACGATAGTAAAATACATTTTCATATTTATTTTTAAATTAAGCTGATATGATAGTTATAGTTACTAAAATTTTGATTAACTAGATCTAACTACAACAGCCTTAACTGCATTTAAAATAATTTATTATTGTATTCATTTAGTTTTTCAATAGTATAAGTAGTATAATAATATAATTTAATATCAATACTTAACATTCTCATAATTAAAATTAGTTTATTTAATATTTTCTTAATTTTGCATAAATTAGTGTATTCATGATTTTTTGTTTTGGTAATTTGATTGGATATTTATAAAATAAATATATTTTAAACTTTAAACTATTTACAGTCTAAATTTTAATAATTTGGTCAAGGAAAAGTTCACATTACATATTTAGCTTAATAATTTGTTATTCTATTGTGGACCTASGTTGACATGGTACMTATGAATAAATATAAGTGTTTAAGAAATTATTATAAAAAACCGGTCGAATTGTGTAGGTGTACCGAATAAATAGCATAGATTATAGTTTATGGTATCATACGCCTTCGTGATCATGAAGTTTCAAGTATATTGCCAAATTCTGATAATCGAATAAACAACATAACAATAATGGCTAGCATTTAAAATTATTAATTGTGTGTAGTTATAGGTTAGTTTATTATTATGATATCGTAGCATACAAAATGTGTAATATAATATAGCAATTAAAAATTTCAATTTTAGTTATATATTTTAAGTAGATGGTTTAAAAAAAAATATTTAGTATAAAAGTAAATTAATCAAAATTTTAACTGCTGTTCTTTGATACCCATAAGACTCGTCTGCATGTATATGATAGTATGAGAAATATGACCTCAACTAAAAGAAATAATGATATAAAAAATAGAGAAACTGGTGACATCATTTTTTATAAAATACTTTATACTTTTAAATGATTTTTTTGGTAAATAATGGTTTTTTTTATTCAATCTGTTTCAAAAAAAAAAGAAAAATAGGAATAATTGACGGTAAAGCTAAAATAAATAAAATAAAAAGGCAGATTAGACAGACTGCAGAAACCTCCCGGTGGAGGTACTACGACATAGTAAAGAATTTTGTTAGGCTGCAGGTAGGTCAAGACACCACTGTCTTTTAARTCTTTTAGTCAGGTTGCTTGAGATAGCAGCAGAAACTGTTTGGTAATTAAAATTTTAAAAATGCATGTGATTAGTAAAGTTATAATTCAGTTGCCTTTAAATTAGTTTCTTAGAAAGTAATTTCAACTTTTGAGACTTTCAGCTATCATTTCTAATATAAGTATATTTATGAAAATGCGTATCCGAACCGTCTAGATTTTGATATTCTATTTTAAAGGTAGGTTTTTGGTCTTCTTAAAGAAGAAACACTCCTTTCTATTGTAGAATTTGACACATAATATAGAACCGCAATTAGCGTAAGTTCATACTTAATTAATGTTCAACAATATTTAATAGTCTGAATTTTGACTCAAATCTTTTCCATTTTTTTTTTCTTCATACAATTTAAAATCAGATTTTAAACATGAAAATGGATTATCAGCAGCTACAGAAAACTATGCATAATGTAATGATTGCATAGTGTCTTTGTGAGATATAAAACGTTCTTTTAATGAGTAAAGCAAATAATCTGAGCATAGGATAAATATGGTACGTTTGTAAAATTCTTCAATATCTAACTGAAAAAGGAAAATTTTCACAATTTTTTTGTTCGACACAAATGCGCGGTTTTGTTTTATTAAAATTTAGCACATGTATAGTAAATGTTTGTACAAGTACTGATAAACTAACAAAATAAGGATAACAATTTATTAAAAATTTAATAAAACAMAATATTTGTGACTTTTAAAGTAACTATCATAGATTATAGAAATATTATTTTAAATTTATCAAAATTTCTGTGGAGCAGGAGCTTCAGCTAAAACTAAAAACTTTCTGACCACAACACTGAAATAACAGTAAATTAAGGAAATCGATTWACTCTATAATTTTTCTCGAACATGTGCAATCAATATTTACTTTATATTAAATTTGTCATGGACTAATTCAAACCTTATACAATCATGTTTTAAATTATACATATTAATAAAATAGATATTTATTAGTGACAAAACATATTATATAACCATATTATTATTAATAAAGTCGTATATAAGTTATATAAATGTATAAGTATAATAAACATAAGATTTTATATACGTGACCTAAATGTCTGTGATGGAGTTTGAATGTATCCATTGTAATCACCTAAGTGTATATCTACTTAAATTGGTTCAAAAATAATTAAATTGAAAGGTTGAATAATAGCTGTGTATTATTAGTAGGTATATGTACATCAATCATCGAAGATTGAAATTATATGGTTTTTAAACATAATGTATAGTCAATAGAGTAATGAAACGATTAACGATTAACGTGTTAAAACACATAATGAATTATTTATAATAAATTAACTCTATAATATTTTCGTTCTATTTTCAATGAAAACTTTTTATTTCTTCTATCGTACCTATTTAATTTTTCATAGCCTTCATTAAAAAAAAAAAAAATGTGATCTCAACTTAATAATTTACTGCATAATGTATTATAATATTAATATTATTTGCTTAATAAGAACCTGGTAGCGCCCTATACATTTTAGTATATTATACATACAAGGCTTTTTCATAGGTTTTAAAAATATTTTTAATTATATACTTGATTAAATGTTAATATGTTCTAGAACTTCCATGTATTATCCAAACTATAATTATACATTTAACTATTACGGACAAATATTAATACAATTTAATACAATTTAATACTACAAAAATAATTTTCAGCATATAATTAGTTAATTTTTTTTATTTTTATAATCTGATATTGTGCATTTTGTTTAAGACAATTGATATGTTCCATATTATTTGATATAAAGGAGTCAATTTAACATAATTAACGAAATTGAAAGAATCAAAGAACAAATGCATTTGTATTTGAACAAATACTGTTCTTTAAATTTTAAAAATGTTGAAGGATACTCAAATTTAATTTTTTTTTCGAGCTGAGTGTTTCCTATGTTTACGGGCAATTGTTTACTTCACCTATTCTTATACCCAGCATAAACTTAATTTGTATTATATGTACCCAGTGTGTATGTTWTAACTTTATAAGTAACAACATATGGTCACAGGAATTATTATCATAACGTGGTAATTATCTATCACAGATTTTTGGTTTGTGATTTTTGATATACTTTATATGTACATCATACAATCTATATTATATATCACAAGTAAATGTTTTCTGTACTAATCTGAAAATGTAATTTTTAAACCAATTATCTTTTGTTTATTTCATAATTTTGTCTTAATTTTAAATTATTATAATAACTCCATAACAAATACCCATTTCACAATTTTAACGCAACAATTTTATACTAATCCAGTCTTATTTTTTACTTAATCACCTTTTCAAAAATATATTTATTGATTTTACTTTTATTTTAAATAAACTATTTTAAAATGTGTTACGTTTGTTTAAATTATTATAAAACTATTTTATGGTGCATGAATTGTACTTGCCATTAACAGCATTAATTTACTAGGTATTTAAAATATAATATAATTGATCAGTAAATGTTTTTTGAATTCAAGTTCAAGAATTAATTTTTATTATGATTTATCATCATGGGCTTAGGTAGAACGAAGTTGGGTACTATTGAGCGAAACCGTTTAAATTATTTTACATTAGGTACATTAGTACATATTTGAACGATTTTATCGCTATTCCATTATTATATCTATTTTTCTATTACACGTCTTCTTCTTTTACTGCTTCTTCTTTTGGACTGCGAGTTGAAGAAATGCAAAACAGATTTTTGCTGTTAAAAACCGGTTTCCTCCTGCTGTGCAAAAATACTCTTTTGTTCGACTAGTGTTTTGTATTTTTATTATAATAAATAATTTAAATACGAAAACATGTCCATATATTTTTGAACACTAAATCTATTTTAACGTTTTTCATATTATATACTTATATAAAACTAATCGTGATAGATGTTTTGAAAAACACTTTGATGTTTAATAATGAATACTCAATTATAAAATWTTTTCATAGRTACWTTTTATCACTCAGCCCACATACTATTATAAATCGTTTTACTGCAACTCTGATCAGAAGAACTTAAAAAATATTCATGATTTCATGGTGTATTTTTACACTAGGCTGTAGTCATAGAATGTTACAGATATTATATTTTTGTGCTACTATACCTAAGTATTATAGCGCTGCACAAGTAATGTCCATAAATTAGATCTGTCGTTATTTAACTCGTAAGTAATCAAYCATAGAATAAAATATGTCAACGAATAATTAAAAATCATAGTAGAATGACTATTCGTAGACTATAATATTGTTCATATGAGTGTTTCGTAATCAATGTTAAAAACCACTATTTATAAAATAAAAAAAAACATGTATTTGATATTATTTAACTTTACAATATACTTTTATTAGGCACCTACTTCACTCGTCAACTTATTTTTAACATAATATTATATAATATGTTTTTAGTCTGGAAATTTTTTTTTTCTTACCGATTTTTGCGATGCCAATTTTGGTTACGCTGTGTTTATTACCGTATAGAAACACGAATCAACTATATATAAAAAAAAAGTAATAATCATTTACTTCTTAACAAAATGTATCGTGATACTAGATATTTATCTATACTGCACTATTATAGTCACACTAAAACATATTTATGATTCCTCAATTTTTCTTGCAAAGGAAAAATATCTAGCATACCTATAGCATCTACTTAATATAATGTATTCGAACGAAATTTTTTACTAAAAACGTGCTAAATTTAAATGAAAACTTTTAAAACATATGTACGACATACGGCCATGACGCAAATAGTGCTTAGGGTGGAGTAGCTATGAATATTTTTAATAGAGAGGGTTATATTGATTACTTGACTAATATTCACATGACGTGTATCAACTTATATAGGTATACTAATCTTTTTCAAAAATTTTGAATTCCAAAAAAAATTTTCTTTTAAACGTGTTATTATTTTATAGGAAGGTACAACATAATAAACATCGGAGTTTTGTGAATGGGCGTATGAAATCAATTTTCTTGATTATTTAATTTCTTACCGTTTAATAAAAATTGCTCAACTGCATATTATCGAGTTATGTATTATATTATTACAGATGAACGACTTACAATACGAGGAGGTTTTATTGAAATACTATACATAACACTATATTATAACAGCGTGTATATAAAATACAATACAATAACAATATCTAACATACTAACATTAACATTTTAACATTTTTAACGCACGTATAGGTACGTTTTGATTCGGGTTTATTCATTATTGTTATTGAACACATATATATCGTTAAGTAGGTAGTAACTAATAARTGTACATTGAATTATAATAGTGGTACCTATACTAGGTAAGTAAATATATTTACGTTATATTATAGTATTAGCTAATAGTTATCATTATTTTATTCAACAATTTAAGTAACAATAGTGCCAGTTTATTATAGAAATATTTTTAATATTAGGTATGGTTTGAGAGAATTAAAAATGATTGAATATTTGTTTATTTATAATTTCAAAATGTTACAAGTTATACATAATTGTTACTTTATTTTACAATCTATTATTTAATGCAAACAAACTAAACGCGTTTGATTTTTGTAATTATTGGAAAACGTTATAAAATAAAATGTATTATACAATATTGTATATCTCCTATGAATAGTGTACACAGTAGACTCTCTACTTGTGTAATGTTATGCGTAAGCGTAATATATAAATATATTATGATGACATCGTTCTTCTATATTCTATTCTTTTATAATTCATCAACTATAATAATATTGTATATGCGTGTGATATCTTCAATGTAGGAATTATAATCTATAATAAATTGTACTCAATTCAACAATCATTTAAAATAATTATACATAATTATTTTAAAATTAAATTGAAGAGGTTGTGAATTTTTGTTTTTAAATATTATATATGGCAATTTTATTAAAATAGCCTTGGATGAGTAGTAGTTTGAGCCTATAAAAGTAAATGATTTAATAAACATATTACTATAAGTCCCGAAAACCGGCTTGTTTGTTCGGTATAAAAAGATGAGAAAAAAGTGTTTTTTTTTCTTATACAATTTCATAATTGATGACCCAAATAAATTCCACAAGTTGTGTAAACTATAGATTACCTACCACCTATAACTAGTTAAAATTATGATTTTTTTTGGCTATACTCATTTAGGTAACGATTATCTCATAGCTATCAATATCGCATTTTCTACAAATATCGTTATGCACGACCAGTTTGTTTATTAATACACTTTGTATGGTCACAATATATTTTATTTTAGAGATGACTTTCAGAATTAATACAATTTTACATAGTTATATTTAAACAGTCTAAACTATTTAGTAGTACTAAATTAGGTTCACACCAAGTGAACAAAAAAGTAACTCTCTGTCTCACAATAAATGTAAAACAAATAAAAGAAAAAATTGAAAAATGTCCATGACATTAAAACATTATATAAATTGGAAACACTATGTTCATGTTTCTGGAAACATTTTCGTGTCGGCTCAAAAGCACTAAACATTAGGGGTTTCTTAATTCTTATTGTTCCTGTTTTTCACAACATATTATTATGTTTGGTTTAAACGGGTATTAACTTCTTGTACTGACATCGGAGTTATTTTAACCGTTAATAATAAATAAATATATATATATATATATATATATATAATATTGTGTCGTAAATGTTTTTATATTTGTTTCTGGGTGTAAATGAAAATATTACGTTTTGTTGCTATTTTTTATTTATCAAATTAAGTTTGATGGTGTTGTGTATTTATTTATTTATATTTTTTTTGTTTTTGTAGACTTGGTGTAAACTTAGCGCTATAGCTATAGCCAATGTATAAAGCTAAACATAAAAATATAGTTTGTTGAATATTAATTACTGATATTAAAGGTAAAACGAATGCCTGTTATTCGATATCGTTATTTATTTGTTTCTGCTGAATAAATTTTACGCCTGTATAAATAACAGGTTAATTTCCCTAAAATTTAATTCTATTATCAAGTATAAACTAAGAATTACAAGTACCTAATTAATATCTAGTATATTCTTACCTACTTAAAGTTATTTTTTTCTAGGGTATAGGTGTAACKTCGTGGTTCGTTAATAGTTTAGGTATAAAATATAAATCGTTTGGGTCTTATAAATAGTTACGAATTTGATAGCTCAAAGTTAAATATACTTTTATACAATGTGAAATATAATTAGAATAAATATTATACATTAATAATCGTTGGAAAGTTAAGAATAAACAGTGATCAGACAATTTTGAATAAAAGGGTTTGAGCAACCTCACAACACGAAATAGATTATCTATAACTGCACGTCTGCTACTCTGCTACTGTGGTTCCGTGTCGCGTATTTCATACGTCCCATCGATAACACTATATTACACTATTATGTATGTTTTATATTATATTTTGTTAAAAAAAATTAAATAATAAAACCAATTTTCTTTGTACGGTTAAATTGTGTTATGGCGTTTGAATGTGAACATAATAAAAATGATGCAATATGAATGTATTGTTATTATTACTACGTGTCTACAATTTGATAATATACCTATAGATTCTACGTTCAATATGATAATAATAATAACATTATTTCTGACTTTCATTGGAAAATTTAATAAGTATTTTCGCCATCTCGTATCAAAAAAATAAATACTCTGACACTCTACTAATACTAATACACAAAGTAGGTAATGCTTATTATTATGATACGAAATATATAAATTCTTTACGTTGTAATATTTCTACGCCTATCCAAGTCAAAATTAGGTACCTATAACATCTGACCATTCTGGACAACCAAATCATAGTTGAAATGTAATAACATTTTTTCTTTGATGAATGCGTTGTTTTATTTTATGAACACTATGGACATGTTTTGATTTAAACATGATACATTATGTTATTAATTTTGACCTTGTATTAAATGTAATAAGAATTTAATTGTCATGTAGGTACAGTTATTTTAACATCCAATTCCTTATTTAGTAATTAACAGTTAATAATAAATTATTGTCTAAACATCATTATAATATAACGTAGATTGCAAAGATTATTTTTTATAATCAAAACGATAAGTTTAAAATCCAATTTACTATTTAGGTGCAAGAAAAATTTTGTAAAATAATTAATATTCTTTGAATGTACTATAATATTATATATAGATACCTATGTTCATATATTAGATAAAACTTACTAACTAATTTATAAAATAACAAATGAGTTGTACAAATTTAGTAAAAATTCAGAATATCTACAAATTAGATATTTTATTGTTGAAGAATTTTTGGTTAATATGTTAAAATTGTTTACATAAAAGAAACCAGTTTTGAGATTGTATATTCAACTGCTTAAAATCGACATTAAATTCGAATATTATTCGAAAACATTAACGACATTTTTGTTTTGCGGGTAGGCTTGTTATTCAAAAAGAAGAAAATAAACACCATCTTAACCTTGAATTTGAACAGACRACTACCCAATATGGGGTGGGTCGTTGACATTTGCACTTAGAAGATAAATTCTCTCAGACTTGGTGATGCTATTTTAGTCTTATACAATATTCGTCCATTTCGTAAACTCGACCATAATAAAACGAGTATCCGTTTTTTTTTTCACATTAATAATATTAAATTTGCTTGACCACGAGTTGCAGTAAACAAGTTTGGAACGAAAATACTATATTATTATATTAATACTTTACACACAACACGCTTTATCTCCTCATTATACCCAGCCTAAAAAAATAACATTCCGTKTTTGTATATTATTGCCATTTGCTTTTGTTTTTTCGATTTTGTTCACTGGGACGATTATAGTGTTTGTTTATTTMTTGTGTTGTACTTGCTATTACTATAAATTGACACGTTTGTTAATAGGTATTATTTCGGAACGGTCCTACAGTTCCAAATTCACAAGGCGATGTGCTTGGCGTCCGGGCAGTACAGACCTAACGACCCGAACAAATTGTTACACAAATGCGACATTTACCGGAGCAAGGAGGCAGGCGCCATTGTAAAGTGAGTAATATTACTAATATTATATGGAAAAATGCAATTTTATCTGATGTCGTTAGATTATGATATTGGTCGAAATCGTGCTGTACCTAACTATACTTACGTAGTTTATAACGATATAATTCTGTGTTGTGAAACGGAGCAGTTGTTTGACTAAGATGTATAGGCATATAATTATGTTTTAAAATATTTTATTATATTACATTTGATGTTAATCTATTCAAATGTCAATTTTCCAGTGAAACGTCCACATTATACGCAGTTTACCCGTAGCCACAATCGTCGTCGAGTCGATTGTTATAGTCTGTCTCTTCTTTTTACGACACGGAAAAGCGTGCTATACGATGCCGCAAGATATACAATTTACATTTTACATTATATATTTATATTTATAATACCCACGAATAATAGTATTAATAAAACGTATTGTTCGTGTTTACCACCGCGGGACGACGACGACACCAACAATAATAATATAATATACTAGGTACTATTTAAAATATATTTTCAATATCATTCGTAGGATCGGTCTTTTCTGGTCTTCCACATTCAGAGTTCCAGATTTTCAGATTTCGTYCTAGGCTTTTAAATATAGTCGATATATAATATCTCATTATGCCTAGGTACAATAATATAATATATRTTATTATCGATATACAATAAGATTTATTAAGAAGAGGTCGTATCTACATGTAGTGTTGGCTCTGTCTCACAACTGGACAACATGGGAAATTTGCGTTCAACCGTTACGAATTTTTGCTGCTAATTTTAAAATTATAGTGAATAGACCTAACTATTAATACAATCAAGGTTTAGAACATTTATTGTGTTATCTCGTTGGTTTCTTACGATATTTAATTTTAAGCGAGTTGTGATGAGTCTTTTTAAAGAATATTTTACGTATGCATAGCTTGCATAAAAATCTAAATATAGCATATGCAACTTAAGTACGTACAAGCAAAAAACACGTAAATATTACTTTTAAGTTTGGTAATGTGAGTTATTTCGCTTTGGTATTATCATATTAAAAGATAACAACACAATAATATCGCCATATTATGTTGAATTTACATTTTGGTATGTTATGCGTTTGTATAACGGGTAGGTACGTCACATAGGTGTGACGTCCTGTTGATACGATCGCGAAGACCATCAAAAAATTAATTATACTTCAGAACTCGCGGAGTCGACTTAAATGTCACCAAATAAAGGACGACAACTATGTGAAATAATAATAATAACGCGAATCGTAACGTATATTAAAATTTAATAATATTTCATTATATTAATAAATTAAGATAAACAGACGATGGTATAAAACGGGAATAATTTAAATAAAATTATAATGAAATATGAATATTGAATAGGTTTATAACATAATTAATGTGTATTTAAATTTTTAAATAAACAATATTCCGGGGATGGGAGCTAATGTAAAATCAACTAAAACCGCAAATAAATGAGTATAATAATGAGAATATAAGTTTTACAAAAAAAAGTCAAAAATACACTAAAGATCATCACTATAATATTATGATATTTTTTCACCATATTCGTGTTTAAAATCAAAGTAAAAACTTTTAAATACCTACTACAATTTATTTTTCACAATAAAAAAGGAATCGCGAGTACCTATCGTAAAAATTTGATTAAAAAATATTATTAACTTATGGCATAATTGTCATAATATGCAGATTGCAAGTAAACTCATCTTTTTTTTTWAAATTATTACGATATATTGAAATCCGTTTTTTGGCGATGCTCCAGAGCGTGTATGTAATATTAAATAATGAAGGTTTTAAGTGCAACTTAAAAGTTTTTCTATTTGGTTGATTTTTCAACTGTTTTCCTATAAAATACAAATTTCCTAACTATATACACCGAATCACATACTGACATACTGTTGCCGATATATATGTGCAGTGTCATCCGTACCTAAGGACTTTCAGAAACGTTTCTGTAATATTAATATCATATTATTATAAATATAAGAAGAAGACGCGACATTAATTTGTCGGTCACCACTGTGACAATAGTATCATTATTATTATTATTATTATCTAACACCACGTCCGGACGTCCGGTCCGCGCTTCGAGTGTTGAATTTTGTCGTACGATTGCAGCAACTAGCACTCATGTTCAACGCTGTGCAGTGTATATACAGTATACTATAGATATATTTATAACGTTGCGATAAGTCTCTTCTCGTCGGGAAAACAAAAAAGTGAAACTCTCGGTGGACGTATTTCCTGTGCAGGACCGAAATGTGGAGAATGATACAATAATAGTAAATAATAAACGTAGAGAAAAGGTCTATACTCCTCGCGTGACGTACGTACCTGTATATATATATATATATATATATATATAATATGTACATTTTATCAACGGAAAATATTTAACGGGTTATTACATTTTACGATGATGTAACGAGGTCGTTTTTTTTCTTCGTATAATTACAATAATAATAATATAATATTCTCGATGGCGGCCGAAACGCAAGTAATATATATGACATACATAGGTATTAATATTCCGAATATATTATATTATTTATGTCGTTATTACACTTAACGTATCTATTATACAATACAAATACTTTTAAACCGCGATACTTGAACAAAAATAAAAGCTGGCTAAGACGACTATATATATATTTATAATAAATACGATGTAGATATTACGTAGGTAAGTATATAATTATATAGATATTGAGTATTGACTCTCATTTAAGTGATCACTATGGCTCGCACATGAATCGATTTTTTCCACATTCTATATAAAGTTCATAATATAATAATGGAGTGTTGTATGATTCAGCGATTTATCATACTTAATATTCGGCGGCGACCAAGATCGACCGCGTTTGACCATCATATCGATATATATTATATATTACCTCTTATAAGGACGTTTCCTTGAATGGTTTTCTTCATTGTTTAATTTTTTTTTTTCTAATAATAAAATAACAAATCACTGTTATATATTTTTCAAGTTGATGATATTTTAAATAACAAATCACTGTTATAGATTATAAATGATAAATAATCGTAACTACAATTTGTTGAGGAAAGTCAATGTACATATATCATCTATTCACTAATTGCCAATTTATATTTTTACACCAGGTGTAGGATAAATGTGTTAACTATATACTGGATAGTAGGTACTTATAATTTATAGCCGTAGGAGTTTTAAAATTCACTTTTAATAAAATCGTGAAAGGCATGAATGACATTATTTACCAAAATAAAATTATATTTATGATACGTTATCAGACAAATTTGACTAGATGACATTGCAATATAAAATATTAAAAGAGAGAAAGAGAGCGAAGGACATCTACAACGTAAAAAATATAACAAAGTTTTCGATATCAAGGAGATAGATTTCAAGAAGGAATAACTTTAACTTTTACACATTTTATAGATTCTGAGTGGATCGATGAATAATAGTCTTAACTCTTAAGAGTGATGTCTATTATGTAGAAAATTCTCAGTACTTTTAAAAATAATCTGGGAAAACTAAAAAAAAAAAATTGCAATATAATCTTTATTCGTTTAGTTCTTCACTTAATCAATTAATATATTTATATTTGGATTAAAGAAATTAGAGTTACATATGATATATGTAGAGAAATATAATATAGCGACAGAAGAGAGTAATTTCTTTGTTAGAATTCTGAGGATTTTTTCACCTCGCTCTGCAAAACTAAGATCCAAAATTGAKGTATTGTAAATCTTAAGCATATTTTAACATTATTTATTAAACAACTGTTTAAACGATAAAAGTTTTTCATAGTTTGATGGAATTGAATTATATCGATCTCTATTATTAAATATTTACTTTATAAGAAATAATTAATGAAAACAAATCAAATATTAAAAATTGTATTTTCTATACGATTTAAATTATTTCATTTTTATTTTATAGGAAAATCATGGAATCCGGATCATCCGAAAATTGGAGAGATACTTTATCACTAGCAATTGGGGAGAATAAACTTGACGGTACAGCTCTAAGAGAATTTTTCCAACCACTCGARGAATGGTTACGAAATGAAAACCTCAGGACAGGCCAGTTTATTGGATGGAATTATGGTATGTCATAATTGATAATATAATAATTATTCATAAATAATTAATGTTTTCTTCAACAAAATTKAATTGAATACCTACGGATGTTTGTGAATTATAATTTAAAAAAACATTAGGTCATAAATGAATTAATGAGTTAATGATTATCATCCCATGGAGAGATATATTATATGCTCTGAAAATATTTGAATCATGGCCAAATATTTTTTTAAACATTTGAATGGTTATAAAATCGGTTTAACTGGAGACGTTTTTGACCATATATTATCTAAGTGTATTGGTACTTAATGATTTAGCTATAATGAGTATATGAAAAAAAATCGAGATGAGCGACCAGTTAACCTTGCACAACTTGGAATATGGTAACAAAAAAAACACATTGGCAATAGTCTATAATATATAATACATGTATACACCGTATGTTGTATGTAAAAATTGTATAATATAATATAATATTTGTGATTTTTGTCCAATAAATTTAACTCAATATTATTCCACTTTACATGAGAATTAAAAAAAAATTATGATGATGTTAATTTTATTTAGATGGAGATTACTGTAAGCATAGTATTGAAACGGCTAATCTACAGGTTTATGGAGGATTTTACAATGGAGCTAATTCTTCAGTAACGTCAACCTTAATGTTAATATCTTTACTATCAACATTGTTAATATGCATCAATGGATATTTAATTTAATGAATTTTAAATTAAAAAATGTTGTACAAAATTATATTAATATTAAACATTCATGCTTACAATTGGCATKATRTTACTCAAAAAATATACCTAGTGGCACTAAAGTTTCAGTAAATTAATTTTTCTTAATATTCTTTCATTATATTTTTGGTTTATCAATTTAAAATTACAACTTACCTAACTTTTTTAACTACATGATACTATAATATTGATTTATATAATACATATCTTAATATTAGATCTATACTTAAAAAATTATATATACTCGTATGTATCGAAAATAAAAATATCTCATTATAACACAAATAATAATAATTTTTATATTTTACTAATTTAGTTTTATGAAATTATAAAGTCATAACTTTATATTATTACTTCTTTAGCTTTATTTATGATTGTATTATTAAAACATGTTTTCTAGTTTTATAGATATTATTAGACTGTAAGACTGGAGTTAAAAATTATTGAGCTTTTTTAGAAAAATATATACTACTTAAATACATAATTATATAAATGCTGTAATTAATATACATTACGTTACCATTTAAAGGCATGACAATTAAATTTATATTTTATGATAATAGTATTAAATATACTGTAAGATTATGTTATTATTCAAAATTTGTAATACTGTTTTTATGGTTATTAGACAACACAGTTACTTTTCCGCTTTTATTATACGAAGGAAACGCTAAAAAAAAATGTCAAATAAAAATTTTTGTGAAAACTATTGTGAAAATGTTTCATATAAAATAACCAAAAATATAAATATATTTTTTATTGTAAGTTATTGTTAAAATTGTTCCATTTACTGTAAAAAAAATTATTATAAATACAATTTATATTTTGACTATATACATTATACATATAAATGTATATGTATACTAGTTTAACGTATTTTGTAAAAAGTAACTACCGTACATAAGACAATTTAAAAATGTGGGGGAAAATGTTAATTTTATTATAATACTAGATTTTGTATTACATATGTCATTAATACATGTTCAACCTTAGCTGAATATCTACTATATGTTTTATAATAATAAAATTAAAATCATTAGGTGTTATAATAGGTACTTAAAAATTCAATTAGGTAAATCAATATTTGAACAATAAATTGCTAAAATATGTTTTCTAATAATTACAAAATATTAGGTATATCTATTCAAACAACTAACATAAGCATATAAATAATACACACTCAGCTGCCTACGTTTAACATAAATTTAAAAATGTATGTACACATTAAATAAATATTTTTGATATATTTAAATACTTAGTTATTAATGAGAGCTATGGCTTATGATCTGTACTAGATTTTTTTTAGGTAGGTTTTTCTGTGGAGTGTAAATATTTATATAGTTAGGTACTAAAATAAAATATTGTTATAATGTTTGTGGAGATAAATAACTGACATATCTACATATCTCCATATAATTAATCATCAAAATATAATTATTGGGCTTTCTGTTATTTAATGTGTACATATTACCTATATACATACAATAAAAAGAAGAACACGATGTCTTGATTTTATCATGTACAACTACATATTTATAAATAATATTATCATCTTCGGACAATAGATTCAAGTGTATATGTAATTTGGCGTAGGCACGTGAAAATGTTTTTTGTCGCATAAACTTAAAAAATCACATATGCTTCAATAGTATTAACTATTATAAGTTATCGCTGCATGATCTGAAAGAGCTGACGTATGGTTGGCTCTTGATCAACAAGATTATAATATATTGTCTAACAATTAATGGATTATGAAAAACAAAATTATATTATGATATAGCACGGCGACTCTTGCGGGGGGTTAGTGTTTTTTTGCTCCATACGCGCGCGTAATGATTATATATTTATACAACTGTGCCCTCGGGCCTCGGTGAATTAACCGCATTTGCCGTGCAGTTCCTTATTATGAGCCTCGTCCTCTCCCCGCACTGTCAGCCGGGACTTTGGGGGTCTACGTGAAAATATTATGACCAATTCATTTCGTGCTCAACAGCGCGTGTGTGTCGTGAATGAAACGATTTGCGGTTTCAATTGCACCCCTCGTCTGCAATTACGAACACGTATTATATAGGTATAATATAGCTCACTTAACTCCCGCATTCAGTGCAGCAGTGCCGCGGCCGGACAACAATGCACTCGGTTTCCCAGAGGGTCGTGTGATATAATCTGTTGCGTGTTGTCCGCGGCTAATCAGAAGATTTATATAGAACGCGAATCAAAAGAAGGGAGTCTTTTTTTTTAAGCCCACTCGTCGCCACCGCCGCCGCCGCCTATACGACTAACGGAAACGGCACTGATTAATGAGTGAAACAGATCTGGGAGATAATGCACCAGTGACATGTGAGATGATTTTATTATTATTATTATTATTATTATTATATTATATTATACCTATGACCGATCTTTGCCGTCCATCGGATCCGTGTGTACGCCATACACACTTTTTTCATCATTATAATTATTATTCCTATCGTCATCGACGTCATCTCTTTTTACGCGAAGGTACCGACGTTTTATTGTTTATATTTGGTATTTCTTTTTTAACCATTATGACATTCGATGTAGCATTGTAGCGTCAGCCACAGAGCTACTTAACCGACAAACAGCAGTGGATCAATAAAATTTGATGATTTAAGCTTATAAAAACTAACTATAAAAATATATCTAAAAAAAAAATGTAAATGTGTATTGTATATTGCATTTTTCAATACTTATTACTTTATTACTTATTATATGATAAAAATCTATTTAAATTTTTAAAAAAAATCAGTACAATAAAAATCATAATTATGTTTTATTTCACAAACCAGTTTTTCATTGTCAAATTATATTTATTTTAACCTCAAATAATAATTTTAATCTTTTAATTCTGCAGAGTACAGACTGCAAACCCTTTGAATTTATAGTTATCGGAATTTATAAAATCTCATTAATTACAGATAATAATTTAGTAAGCTTTAATCGCGGTGTCAGTTAATCATAGAACTGTTTTTCTAAACACTATACTTATGATAAAAATTGCGAGGGCAAAAACGAGAATATAAACTATTCTACTAATGAAATATACCAATACCACAGTGGACGTTTTTTTTTTTTTAGATGACTTTTGCCTACGATTTGGTTTCTGAATGCATTTCATATGACTGCAAATGAATCAAACAGTTTACACACTCTGAATGATTTATAGATTAAAAGTCGAATTTTTTTTTTCGCGTTTTTATATTATAGTGTGTCCAATATAAAAACACGAAAGAAAAATGTRTTGTAATTGTAAGTATAACAGTATAAAGTTGTGAGATTGTAGAGACCGCGTTTGTTTTGAACAGAACGCCTGCCTAACGTAAGGATAATCTTTTCGCATATTTTATTGTTTTTTTACTTACAACAATGTTAATTMACATTTAATTTACACGCATAGACTCGCAATACTCGCACGTGTGGATATATTATAATATATGTAGGTACTAAACATAAATCAAACGATTTAATATATACAGAAATTGCATGCGTGCGAATTAAATATTATTAGCAAGTACGATTAAATTAACATAATATATTATTATAATACTGTGCTCGTACGAAGACATGTAGAAGACATCGTTTAAATAAAAACGATTTACGTAGGATTATAGTATTTATGTTACATAATGGGCCTACATTTTTGAGCTGATTGTCGAAAGGTTTAGGAAAAGACAAAACGTATATAATATTTGTGATGATTGATTCAATTCAAAACTGAAAATTGCAAGTAATATTCAAACCTAACCAAATTCCTATTAAAATAGTTCAATTCGAAAAATAAGCTACCTAAAGATGTACAGTAAAAAATGGAGATTCTCGTTTGACATTGAAGTTTGTATCGTCACGCGAATACGGGAAACTGCACATCTTATAGCACAAACAAATTCAARTATTTGAAATAATGGTCTTTGAGTATACTAAAAAATTTAAAAATCAGAATTAAAAAAATGTATTATTATTAAAATAAAACACGGGAGTGAGCATTTTGGCGTGAATCATCTTATAAATAATCAGGAGAAAATAACAGTCACACCGTTCTATAATGTTTTTATAAAAATTATTCATGTTTAACACTAAATACTAATGTTTACAATTTACATAGGCGAGGAGGACTTTCCATCCCTTTTCGTTTCCACGTATACCAATATCATAAGCGACATTAGCGCATTGCCCCTCGCCCAAAGAATTGTGTATGTGTGTTTTTTAATAAATGTAGTCGTAAAAAAGGAATATTATTAATTTTTAAATGAGACAAAYCTAACCAGCCGATAGACGGATGACGGACAGACATGTATTTTTTTATGATATATGGAATATGGATTATAATATCACGTGTTTTACACAGTTTTCTATTATTTGCGTTCGTACATCAGCGATGCCACAAWATGTGGTCGTAGATTTAGCAGGAGATCTGCAAATATTACGAGTCACCCGTAACGAGATAGATTAAAAGCAAATCGACACGATAATTTTGTGCCCGCGTATTACGTCGCGACACGGATTTCGTACAAGTGAAAATCAGCTACAGCTATACAGTTATTGTTATAATAATAATAATAATAATAATAWTATTATCACAAGCGAACTCGGATTTGAATAGCGTATAAACCTATATAGGTAGATACTGTAATATAGAGTGTTATTCGCAGATCGTTTCGTCGTTAAAATAAATACCGTTCGGGTATAGTGTTGTTAATGGCGTAGTTGTTGCGTATGGCCTGACGCCTAAAACCTGCAAACGAGAGAAATAATTTTTGTTTTCCCCCCAGTTTGCGTTTATCCATTCTACATCCGGYGCAAACTCACATCACGGCGGCTTTGGACTGTGAAAATATATTCATCGTTGAGATATTATACGTGCGCGTCCTTTGTGACGTACCAACTGGCTATCAATTATGTACGTTTAGCGTATAATATATCGCACCGCTGCACCGTGCGTGCGCAAGTCTTCAGATCGTATTTTATTAAATTAATAGGTATACACTTATAASGCTGTGAAACTTATATGTGCTGCAGCAGGATGCTATAGACACCTCTCACGTCCTCTCCAATGATTGAACATTTTTTTAACGCCGTGTTAAAAAAAACAACGGGGGTTCAGTGGACAAGCACATAAAGCTACAGTATAACMAAAGTTAGGGCTAGGAGTGTTTAATGWACGAAAACTTGTAAAAAATGAATGTATAMCTTTTAAATCAACCAAAAAATAAAATATACTATACAATAAAATTAAATTTACATAAGTATTTGTGTATGTATTAAAATTAAACTGTTATTTTATTTATTATTGAAATAATAATTGTAATTATATTTATAGTTAATTAATCTATGAACATTTTTATTTGATTTTTGCCTTATAAAGTGCACTTTTTCTACACTATGTACATTTTTAAAACTGGTCATCTAAAAGACTTTTGTAATCACAAAATTATAGGGCGTTGCCACTAGGTATATTCCCTTATCTYATAATTCGTGTCAACACTTTTAATTKTCACTTGTCAAACCTACTCGTTGTACAAAGAATATGTAGAGATTTTAGATTTATTTCAGTAAAATAAAAAATTTAAAAATACACACACACAAAATTCTATCAATCCACATTACTTTAAAAATGAAAATATAAAATATCTCAATTTATAATTTTCTTAAATTCGCATAATATAATATTTTAATCCGTTATTTTTATCCTACACCTATATTTTTGGAAAAAATTAAATAATTTAAAATTATACACTAATCTAAAACATCAAAAAAAAAAAAATTGCTTTAACAATTATTGTTATACATTAACTACACTGATTAACCTATAACATTTTCTTCTGCTATTATGGATAACATTTTTGTACACCAGTAAAAGTCTCAGACCTAGATAATAACAATTGAGCCTGATTGTTTTTGTTCTCCAACACCTTTACTAACAATGTAATGATTAATAGTTGAGTCTATTATGATATGTGTCTTGTCGACCTGCCTCTAAACTTTTAATACTTATATTATATAACTGAGACAGCATGGATCCCTAGCAATTAACTAAAATTGAAAATTTGAAGTCGAATTGTGTTTTAAATTATACTTACAACATATTTTCACGGACGCAAATATAATTCCTAACGTTTAGAATATAAAAACTCACTGCCAGAGAACCCATTATAGTTAATGTAACTATGCGGCAGTAGGTATATATATATACATTATATAAATCGTGTCGGACTCTTCAGTGTGTTGTGCGTGCGCCTCGTGGATCTAAGGTGGTATAAATATATTAATAGCCATATATATATAAAACTTCTATGCGACGATTTTTCAAGGTTGTCCGGTGGACCGACATCCGCAAGTATAGTAATAATAATAATAATGATACGGACGACCGCGTAGTTGTCTCTCTGTGGTGGACACAGAGACTGGTCCGGCGACGATACCAGTTCGGATTGTCTCTCGTGCACGACCACGA